GTCTGTTGCAATCGGGTCTGTTTCAATCGGGTCTGTTGCGATCAGGTCTGTTACAAAAGTTAAAGTACCTAGAGTTATACCAGTACCTAAAGTCGGAGGCATTTTACCTCTTATTCCGCTCTTCGCGGGTCTAAGTGCTTTGGGAGCTCTTACCGGAGGTGCTGCCTCTGTCGCTAAAGCTGTTCAAGATAGCCGAGCGGCAAGAGATAAATTAAAGGAATCTCAACGACATAATAAAACCATGGAAGCCATTGCGTTGGGTAAAAGAGGAAGCGGATTATACCTTGCCAAACACAAGACAGGATATGGATTATTTCTTCAAAAGCAATCACCAAAAAACTACCAATAAAGCTACCCAATCGACCTTTGTCTAACCTAGTTATACAGAAATATGTAAAGAAATTAAAAATTGTCAACTTCAGAGGAGTATTTATGCGAAATACTCTACCACAAACACCTAGAACGAACGAGTGCGGTGTTGTAAATTTGGACGAGATTGAAGGAGATGGAACTCATTGGGTAGCATATAGAAAAACAAGGGATAAAGTTGTGTATTTTGATAGTTTTGGAAATTTAAACCCACCAAAAGAAATTGTTCGATATTTCAAGAAATGTAAAATATATTATAATTACGACCAGTATCAAACATATAATACTTACAATTGTGGTCATCTTGCATTGTCCTTTCTCTATAATAATAAATAGTTATAAAAGAACATGTGTTTTAATTCCAAACTCAGTCATGTCTCAGACATTCACACTGAAAGGTCGTTCTAGCTGTTTAAGCGTGGACATTAATCCTCCAATAGAACTCGATTCTAGATACAGTTATTCTCTAGCTCTGATATCTCTCAGTACCTGGAATTCAATACCGAATATCGAACCAGGTCGAAATAAGTTTCATTATTCTGTAGACGGTATAAAGCAGATAATTGAAATTTCAACAGGATCTTACGAGATTACCGACATTGAAGAGTATTTGCAAAACGAGCTAAGTTCTAACAGTAAAACCGTTATAAAGTTACACCCTAATAATAATACACTAAAGTGTGAAATAAAGTGTATCTACGATATAGATTTTCAACCTGAAGATAGTATTGGAAAAATATTAGGATTTTCACCGCAAGTTTTAGCTGCCAATAAATTGCACAAATCAGATATACCTGTAGAAATTTTTCCTGTGGTAACAATACGTATCGAGTGCAATATCATATCTGGATCGTATTACATTAATAATCCATCTCATACACTGTACGAGTTTAGTCCTAGCGTAGATCCTGGCTATAGTATAATTATCGAACCCAGGAATCTAATCTATCTTCCAGTAAATAGAAATTTTATTGATAACATTACATTAGATATATTAGATCAGGAATCAAGACCGGTTAACTTTAGAGGTGAAGATATTGTTATACGTTTGGAGCTTAAGAAGAATGGGTTTAATTTTTAAACCTTACTATTTAAATACCAGATCACAGAGCAATCAATCAGTTAGTACATGTACACAGAAGCAGACGCTCACATCCAAGAGCATACTTCAGCTTCACCATATTATCAGTAAATATGGACTCCGTATTAGAAAATTTGTAGTACTCCGTACTACAAATATTCCAACCGGTCAACGTAGATGAATCCATTGCTCGAGAAGAATGGCATACGTATCACCCATTCACCAAATCATTTAAGAACAGCGATGAGATAGAAATTGTTATTAATCAACAGGATGTGTTTATGGATATTAGCCAGGCCGAATTATACATTGAAGCCAAATTTCTGGAAGAAGTATCGGCAGCTGTGAAAACAGGAAAATGTTCCTTGACAAATAACGTTGGAGCATTTCTATTTGAATCGATAACGTATGAATTGAATGGAAAAGTAATCGATAAAGTACGAGATCCAGGGCTTATAAGTACCGTTAAAAGTCTTTTGTGTCTCAATCAAAATGAAAGTACTGCCCTTGATGTGGCGGGATGGAATTGGCCGAACGGTACTGTGAAATCATATGAACCACAAACGGATAATTTCAGTCTCCTAATACCATTGAATTTCCTATTGAACGTCTTCTCCGATTATACTAGCGCTATTATGGGAACGCAGAAATTAAAGCTTGTACGTGCCAAAAAAGATGATAATTGTTATGTTAATTCAGAGGGAAACAAGAAAGCAGACATCACCATTTTGAATATCGAGTTAAGAGTAAAACATATCTACCCGAACGATTCTGTGAAATTAAAATTGTTTGAAGCAATTTCCAAGGACAAACCGGTATTTATTGGATTTAGGAAATGGGAAATTCATGAACTACCTGCTCTACGACAAGCGAGAAAAGATGTATGGACAGTGAAGGCAGCATCTGAACGAGCGAGATATGTTGTTGTATTCTTCCAAGAAGATCGAAAAGATAACTATAAAGCTGATGGCACATATTTCGATAATTTGAAAATTACAGATGTCAAGCTTTATCTAAATTCCGAGGCCTACCATATGAATCCCTAGATTTAAATTTCAAAACCAGACAGTTTACTAAAGCCTATTCCATGTATACGGATTTTCAAAAATCGTATTTGGGAAAGATCAATAGCGAACCTTTGCTAGATTTTACCGCTTTTGCCAGTCGAGCCCTATTTGTAATTGATTGTTCAAAACAAAACGAGGCTCTGAAAAGTAATGTGATAGATGTAAAGCTAGAATTTGAGAGTTCGGAAAATTTCCCCGAAAACACCCGAGCATTTTGTATCATCATATACGATCGAGTCATGGAATATTTACCTTTATCAGGACATGTTAGAACGCTAATTTAATCAGTTGCTGCAAGACATTGATACGATGAAGTTCGTTGTTATAGACGTACAAGGATTTCCCATCCCCGAATTTGAGGTTAAGGAATTATCCATATACGATGGAAAAGAAATGAAAACCTATACGTTTAAACCAAAGATTTGTTACCACCATCTGCCGATACACCATAAGAAGACGATAAATTATATATTTCACAATGTTCATGGAATCCCTTATAATTCAGGGTATTTACCCTATAAGGCGATGTATAACATAATACAGGAGGAATTGGAAGGTGTCGATATGGTTTTCGTTAAAGGATCTATTAAAAAGGAATTTCTGCTGTGCACGTAAAACGAAATGAATCTTGATCCACCCTGTATAGTGAACTTGGAATTTACTTCTGGACCTGTGCCGAAATTAGAACAATCATACAGTAATTGTAATTATCATAGACTAGAAATATGTTCTTGTACTGTAAATAATGTTCATATATTATATGATTATATTATAAACCTTTTAACTCAATAAATTTAAATCTATTAATATCCAGTATTTTTACTTATTAGCTCATAGATTAATATTAGCTCATTTTACTGTAAACCATTGTCTTGTTCACATCGCTCTCATCATATCGTTATGGATAAATCAAGTGTATTAGAACCAATAATTAATGTAGCATTAAACATTTCCGAGAACCTGGCAGAAAAGCAAATTATTTTCCAAAGTACAAACAAAAAGAAGAAGAAGATTCAAATGTCATATGAAGGTTTTTCAACGTTTCTGGACTTTGTTGATAAAAACGTTAATAGTGATTGGTGTGATAAATCTATAGAAATTGATGGGCATTTAAACATAACTTATGCTTTTGAAGAAGAAGTAAAGTGCTGGATAATTCAAGATAGGAAATGGAAAACTTATATTGATTGGGAGGATGATTGTATATTGTTATTTAAATACTGTTTACCTATTTTTTATAATTTACTAGATGAGAGAAATGTGGAAAATAAATACACAGTGAAATGAAAAAAATTGTTTTATTTAGAATACTCTAAATCATTTTTTTATAAAATCAGTCTTGTACAATATAAAAGTTTGAAAAATGTTTCTCAGTATTACTGTTAAATACATGTGTAAAAATAAATATTTATGTTAGGAATAAAATTACTAAATTTGAATGCAGCTATTGAAAAGCTTAAATCAAACAGTGTATACAATATAAATATGTTATATATATATATATATATATATATATATTAAGCTAAAATATATTGAATATAATACTCTAAATAAAAAATAATATATAACAAATAACATAAAAAATAATATAATAATAACATAAAAAATATAATAATAATATAAAAATTTGTATACAATATAAATATGTTAAATGTAAGCTAAAATATATTGAATATAATACTCTAAATAAAAATACACTAAAATACAAAAAATAAAATTAACCCATCCTCTAAACATGAAAGTAACTAAATATTAATAAATAAATAAAAAAATATCGAAGGAAATAGAAGTAAAAAATAGCTGCCCTTGGTTTCAGCCTATAGATTTTCCGATTATTCATCCCTATATTTTCCTAGATCTTTATGGCCCTATGAGTGTGTGTACTGAATTGGGAATAAGAAATCTCTTTATCGTCCGCGTAGGATAAGACTATCTTATTTTTATCATACATACATATTGTGTAAATGTGAACGGAAAGTGTTCATCGAGCGATAGATTTTCGTACCTGCTACATCGACCGTGTTTTTATAATCATTCAAACCATTATCTTGTTTGGCGATGTAGTCAGGCACGCCTTTGGCCTTTTCGTTAACTCACCATCCACATTTACACAATATGCCTTAGTCTCCAGTTCCATAAAACCCCATTAAATTCTTCCTGCATATTCATCCTTCATACCCAACACACGAATTTGCGGAATATTATGTGGTTGGGAATAAGAAATCTCTTATCGTCCGCGTAGGATAAGATTCTTATTTTTAGCTCTCTACATATTGTGTAATGTGAACGAGTGTCGAGCGATAGATTTTCGTGTACCTGCTACATCGACCGTGTTTTTAATCATTCAAACTAATATCTTGTTTGGTGATGTAGTCAGGCACGCCTTTGGCCTTTTCGTTAACTCACCATCCACATTTTCTATTAATAATATGCCTTAGCCCCAGTTCCATAAACTCCAAATTTTTTCCCTGCATATTCATCCTTCATACGGCATTGCTTACAGACGAATTTACAGGAATATCGTGTGGATTGTTTTGCGAGTAATTTGACGTATCGAATCTATCCAAATTTTCGCGCATGTCATCATAAAAATTGTCGGTTTGAATTTGTAAAATTAGAGAATCGGTGTCAGTGTAGAGCAGTGAGGCTTTATTACCGTACTTTGGTTTAATATAACTATACAAAAAATCATACATAATAGTTTTGGAAATTTCCAAAATTGAAAAACCTACGTAAATAGGTTTATTATATACGATTTTCTGTTTAGCCATATGTATTGCGACTAAATTCTCGCTAAAAATCGTCAAGTCTTTAAAATGCGGTTTGGAAATGTACGCTTCTGCCCCTAGCTTTCTACCAATATTTTCCCAGTGGGTAACTAACTTAATATTTACCCGTTTCTCCACGTTCTCCATTGTCTTTCCAAATACAGCGTTATTCATAAGTTTGAAAAAATCTTTTTCAAACTTATTTTCAGCGTTATTACGCTTTGCTGTATTTAGATCAATGTAGGTTTTCAACCAGGGAGATTGATTAAATGATAAAATGCGATGAATTTTGGCAAGTTTCAGACCATGGTTCAACGCTTGTTGTAAATTTTGATAATGAATTACATATCTAACTTTAGAATTAAAATTGGGGATTAATTTTGAAACTTTAGATCCCTCTGGTTGAACGGACTCTGGGCAAAAGGGTAATTCGTTGTGTAAATCATGTAAATGCTCCGGATACTCTAAATCGACTTCAAAAACATAACCTATATTAGAATTTTTATCGATATTCATAAAATTTAAGTTTGAAATTTCTTCTTCTGTTAGCCACGTAAAGTTACCTGTTGGTAGATATTGCGACATGGCTGCACCATATAAATTGGTAGCATCCAAGTACATAATGTAGGAAGTAGGTTTGGAAGCGTCGTATATAGACATAAATTTATTATTCGCGATAGCTTTTCTAACACTACATTGACTGACACCGCCGCGAATCCCGTGTTTAAAGAAATGTATCATGTCTAGATCTGTCAATAATTTCAGCTCGATAGAGGTGGTTTTCAAGGCCGCGTCAAAGGACAGAGATGGTGCGGTGAAGTATTGACAAGGATCTAGACCGTATGTTTGTAGACACACCTCTCTAAAATTCTCAAAAACATCAGTTAATAATAGTACGTCGGATTTTAAATATATATCTGAATATTCGCCTAAAGTTTGACATTTAAATAAATTCCATACGTTCAATGCACGCTCGTAATCTCCTTGTTTGATGGCTTCTTTTCTAAGTTCGTTATAGAAGCCATCAATGGGTGGAAGCTTGGTATCGTCTAATTTGGAAAAGGAATCTACGTACGAATATGGGAAAACACCCTTCATACGAATAACCTTAAATTCTTCTTCGTTAGGGAAATACTTCCTAACTTCGCGACACTGTTGAGACGTTAAATTTTGACTTAGTTTATCTAGACTTGATGCCATGAATCGAAAACTGTCCAAAAATCTTAATTTTAAAAATATCTTTTGTTGTCGCTTTTCCTGATCGTTGTCATCCCCCACCATAATATATTTTGTAAAAGAAATATATCTTTCTTTGTTTTGGGGGATGACGTCCAATCGTTCTTCCTCCACAGCCAATTCTTTTATAAAAAGATGGCTGTCAAAATTTGACATGTTGTGGAAGAACACAGGAATAAAATTAGGTACTTTAAAATTTAGGTTACAAACAGAGTGAGCCGCACCTCGATATTTTCCTGTTAGATGACAGTGGTCCCTTACTCTTTCATCTTCTACATTAAATGGTCTTTCGCAAATATGACAGTGTGTCATCTGATAAAACTCGGCTTCTTGTACGCTACTGAGAGGAGACATGGATACAATATTTTTCATAAATCGATTGTAGATTGATTTACAATCAGTCTCTAACCAATCTATGAAAACTTTATGTGCATCAGGTCCCCTAAAAGTCTTGAAAATCGACTGAGAATTATCAAAATCGCATTTAATGTAATAGGCAAAAGAATAAGGAACGTGTTGGTGTGTTTTCACCGTATAGGAAATTTCAGGATCCAACTCGTTTTGCTCTGTTTGTATAGGTTCCAAAATAGTTTCAAAATCAGCGTATACAACAAAAGGCACTTTTAATTTTCGTTCGAAATTCGTAAATTTAAGGATATTCTCGGGAATATTTTCACCATATTTATTTTTCTTTAAATTATCCGAAGGAGTTTCAACTACAACATGACCACAATCCTATTTTTGATGATTTTCTAATTTAATATCTGAAGAAAAATAAACTAAGCAACCATCGCATAAGAATTTTGAATGTTGTTTGCCTGAAAGTTGGTTGGAGATTAGGCGAGACATATTTCTTAATAAACAGTAATGATTATTGCCAGAATCATCACTGATTAATAACAAATTCAATGTCTATCTGCCTTATGCGAGATCTAGTAAAATAGCAAAGGACCAAACAACTTCAATAATATTCCTATCATGTTTATAACCCTTCTCGAGTCCATAAACATTAATAGAAATATTATTGAGTTGTTCGAATTTTGACACCTGTTTCAAAGATATCGGAAAATCTATACCTGTCACATCCAATTCCTGTTCGAAAGATTGATAATTCTGAACTCGGTTGGCGTTCTGAGTTCGGGGAACTGGGTGAAAGGCGGCTAAAACCGACCATACAAAACATTTCTGGTCAGTGTTTTGTATGTTCAACACAGCCCTTTTCGCTTCTATTTCCTTCGGTAATGGTATGTAAGATGAGGCTTTTAGTAGGTTGATTTTATTGAGTTGCTGAACAGTCCAACCTAATGTACACGAAAAAAAAAAATTAGTATGGTGAAAAAACTGAAAAAATTATATATACTTACCACTATCTTTTTCATTAAACTCCTGGAATATCCGCTTAATGATAGTGGTGAACTGATCAAACAGCTCCTCCAAATCGGTGCCTTGGCTTGCTCCCCTAAATCGGCTGCCAAAGGACTTGGTTTCCTCCACTTCTTTTGTCTGCAGGAGGAAACGCCCGAAAAGCTCCATACCGACTTTCACATTACCAAATCTTTCGATTTGGCATCTTACCAGCGCAATGATTTTTTCACGGAGATTAGCTAAAAAATCATTAACGCTGATAGGATCTTTTTTCGATAAAAGCCGATATGTAGCAATTCGGTTTTTATATGAGGTTTTAACTAAGTAAACACCTTCCTCCTGCATTACCAGGTGTTCTAAAAAATACATTTTAATTTAAAAGGTGTATAAAAAAAATAATAATAACTTACCGTTATTGAAACCAAGTCTAGCTCTCTTTGGCACCGAAGACTCTGGCTCCGCCTGATTGACTAAAAGAAAAAAATATTTAATATAAAATAGATGCTTTCTGTTAAAAAAAAAAAAGAAATATATGTTAAATAGTTAATTAGTTTAAATAATTGAAAAAAAAGTTAAGAAATAATAGTTGAATATGTAAAAAAAAATAATTAAATAGTTAGTTTAAAAATAATGGAAAAAATATGTTAAATAAAATAATTAAATAGTTAATTAGTTTAGAATAATAATGGAAAAATATAATTACTTACTGTTAGTGGGAGAGCTTGTTCTTTTCAGAGAGGTCTTCTCTAAATTTTTTGTTTCAGGTTGATTGGCTAAAATAAAATAGAAAAAACCATTTAATATTACACAATATAAAAAATAAAATAAAAACTCACCGTTGAGGGCTCCTTTGCAAATCTTCATATGCTTGCCTAAATTATCCTTTCTGCTGAACGCTTTCGAGCATTTTTCACACGTAACTAAAAAATAAAAAAGCATTTTAAGCCAGAACATAAAATAAAAATATTTACTTACGATTGATAGAGTCCATATTAGTTTGCGATGTAGATGTAAGATTTCCCAGTTTGTTTAACTAAAAAACAATTATATTTAGAAAAATTTTGAAAAATATAAAAATAAATAAAAACTCACCATTACAAATCCTCATATGTCGTTTTACATCGGATTTTCTAGTGAACACTTTCGAGCATTTTTCGCACGTATCTAAAAAAATAAAAAAGCATTTTTAAAGCCAGAACATAAAATAAAAATATTTACCTACGTTTACTGGGGCCAGCACAAACGTCCGCGCTGGTTTGGGGCGTAGCAGTTTGGATTTCATTGGCTAAAATAAAAAATAGAAAAAACATTTAATATTGCACAATATAAAAATAAAATAAAAAAAAAACTCGCCATTAGCACATCTCTTCATATGCCTGGACAGGCTATCTTTCCTGGAAAACACTTTGCCGCAAATGCTGCATAGAAACATTTTTTATTTTTTACAGAGAGTGGATCGACTATTTTCAACGAGAGGCAAGTAGAGACTGACGTGAATTGCGAGTTGTTTGCTGGGTACAATGCTAGACCGGAAACCACATCAAAAATTTCTGATATAATTATCTACATCCGGCATCTGGCGAATGTAGATAATTATTCATTAGTGGGCAGAATCATCATTTCCTTTCAAAACCGCATCAAAAATTTCTGATATAATTATCTACATCCGGCATCCGGCGGATGTAGATAAGACCTATGCACAAAGTTTAATTTTACTTAAATATTTATCACAAAAATTGATCTTAAATTTTCTAGAAAAACAAAAGCATGACATCATGAGAGGAAGCCGTAAAGAATGAAGTATTAGGTCATTTTACTGTAAACCATTGTCTTGTTCACATCGCTCTCATCATATCGTTATGGATAAATCAAGTTTGATTTATTTTTACCGTTTAAATAAATATTATTATTATTTATGAATATCCAAAAGACATTAGTAATTAAAACTCAATCGTCAAACGTTAAAAATTATCATCTGTGTTAAAAAAACATGGAAAGATTTTTTTTGGAATATATATATCGGGTGTGAAAAAACAATCTATGACGTAAAGCGTTTGTTTTTCATTAACACCCTGTATATAATAGACATGACGTAAGACAGGTTTGGCGTTTGACGTTTGATAGATGACGTAAGACAGGTTTGACGTTTGACAGATGACATTTGACAGATGACGTAAGACAGGTTTGACGTTTGACGTAAGACAGGTTTGACGTTTGACATTTGACAGATGACGTAAGACAGGTTTGACGTTTGACAGATGACATTTGACAGATGACGTAAGACAGGTTTGACAGATGACATTTGACAGATGACGTAAGACAGGTTTGACGTTTGACAGATGACATTTGACAGATGACGTAAGACAGGTTTGACGTTTGACGTAAGACAGGTTTGTCAGATGACATTTGACAGATGACGTAAGACAGGTTTGACGTTTGACATTTGACGTTTGACATTTGACAGATGACAGGTTTGACGTTTGACATTTGACATTTGACAGATGACAGGTTTGACGTTTGACGTTTGACAGATGACGTTTGACAGGTGACAGGTGACAGGTGACAGCTCCCCACTCCTAGTGCATGCGCCTTGCGCCTCCACCGCCGCCACCGCCGCCTGCGCCTGATGCAGAATCGGCCTTCTCCCTCTACTAAGATATTTTTTCTTTTTAAATAGACTAATAAAAAACCGTTAAGGCAGAAAAATATGCACATAAAAATTGATTCAATTTTTAAAAAACCTGAGTATAAAATATAAATTTTATACTTGTTTCCATTTTTATGTTAGTATTTAATGTGTATCAAGGTGCATATTTACTTAATAGGGATATTGTATTACATATTTTTTAAATTTAGTCGAAAACCGTTATTTAAGTTATTTTATACATATACCAGTGGCGGCTCGTCAGGTGCAGTAGGTGAAGAGGCACTTCACCAAAAAATACTCAAATTGAAAAACATTACTGCTTAAAATATATATATATATATATATATATATATATATATATATATATATATATATATATATATATATATATATATATATATATATATATATATATATATATATATATATATATATATATATATATATATATATATATATATATATATATATATATATATATATATATATATATATATATATATATATATATATATATATATATATATATATATATATATATATATATATATATATATATATATATATATATATATATATTTTTTTTTTTTGAGGAGGAGGGGAAAAATCTTGCATAAGACACCGTTGGGTAGTGTCGGATTCCTACCGACTAAAAAAACCCTCCTCGCATTGCATCGCTCTGCGGTTAGGCCCTGCATTCTATTTCCTTTGGTTTCTATTATTTCTCGAATGCATCTATATGTAATTTTCCATGACGTTTCACCACTTAGTAGCCCTTGCATCATATTTTTGGCATTAAAGACTTGTCCACCACTCTCCCGTTGGAATGACTCTCTAAACTGCTTCCATTCATTGCAGAGGAATAGTGTGTGTTCAACACTGTCAACTTCCTTGCAATACATACACAAATTTGAGGTGGATCTCTCCCTTTTATGCAAATAGTTGTTAAAGCATCCGTGCCCTGTCAATGCCTGAGTTAGGAAATAGTCCGTCTCTCCAAAGCTTCTGTCTAACCAGATATTAATGTCTGGTATGAGATCATGTGTCCATCTACCATATCTAATTAGATCCCACTCCTTTTGCCATTCAATCATCAGTATGCTTCTTGCCTCCAGTTTTGATGTCCCTTTGTATCTCTCTCTTCTCTCCTCTACAAGTAGGTGAATATGCGGCACCCGGATATGACATTTAATGCTTCAGCGGAGACGGTTCTATATGCACTGCAGATCTTGAGGTTCAGTTTACGGTGTATAGCTTTAAGTTTTTGCCTTATATATCTCTTTGATATTGCGAAGTGCCACACTGGGGCGGCATATCACAGTTGAGAGTGTGCTACACAGGCTAGGATTCTACGTTTGGAAGCAAGTGGCCCTCCTATATTAGGCATCAGCCTACCCAGTGCGGTCAAAGTTCGTTCCGCCTTTCGTATAACTTGATTTATATGCTCGCCGAATGTAAGCTTTGAATCAAGCCAAACTCCAAGATATCTTATTGCATTCTTTGGTGAAATTGTTGTACCGAGAAGCTCAAATGATATATGAGAGAGTTTCCTCTTGGTGGTTAATAAAACCGCTTCAGTTTTGTTCGGTGCTAGTTTTAAACCTTTGCGCTCGATCCAGTTAGCCACTCTTTGTAGCCCTGCATTAGCAACACTCATGAGTGTCTTTTCGTTTTTGGCCGTTACCACCATCGCTACGTCATCGGCAAAGCCGATTAGTGTTACTCCTTCGGGCATTGCCGTTTCCAGTAGGTCGTTGTACTGGATATCCCATAGTATTGGGCCAAGTACTGACCCCTGTGGCACTCCACTGGTTACGTTAATCTGCCTTTTAGCAGTATCGTCTTCAATTAAAATTGTCCTTTCAGAGAGATAAGATGCCACCATGTTAGTCAGATACGAACTTATACCCCATTTTTGCATTTCGTCCAGAATGATCTGCCACGAAGCACTGTTGAACGCATTTTGCACATCTAGAGTAATTACTGAGCATAATTTTCTCTTATTTGGTGCATAATCTGCTGCTTGTCTGGCAATAAGAAGTACATGTTCGATCGCATGTATTGTTTGTCTACCTTTTCGAAAACCATATTGGCGCGCTGAAAGAGTTCCTATTCGATCGAGTTCTTCATTTAGTCTAATAAGGATAAGGTGTTCATATAATTTTCCTTCTATATCTAAAAGACATATCGGTCGGTATGCCGCTGATCCATCTTCTGAGTTAAAGTTTTTAGGAATCAGTACCAGTGCGGCTTTCTTCCACTCGGGAGGAAAGAGCAAGTCTCTTGCTAGGCTTTAAACCTTCAAAATATACTCTGATTTTTTGTCTATTAATTGCTTAAGTATTTCGACAGGCACGTTTCCAGGTCCAGGGGCTTTTCCGTTTTTTAATTTATCACAGGCTTGTTTCAATTCATTTACACTAAAATCTACAAAACTATCTCAAATATTACAGTTAAATATCACGTTTGGATGAACAGGGAATAGTTTTTTAGCTTCCTCTGCCATTGCTTCAACGCTCAGCTTTGATTTAGAAGGAAACCCATTTATGCACTTCATAGCAATTTTGTACCCGTTTCCAAAAATATCACAGTTTATTGTGTCACATTATGCTTTCCACTTCTGTCTTTTCGCCTCTTTTATGGAGTCTCTGAGTATCTTCTTAGTTTCCAGATATTCCTCCCACAGCCTATTACGTATAATCAGATCGGCAGAGCACTGCCTAGTATAAGCGCGTCTTCTCTTAATACAGGTAGTGCGGAGATTGGCGATTTCTTCGCTCAACCAGTAAGCAGGAGGACCTCTCTTACAGGGTTTTTTCTTTGGCATCGATTTGTCACAAATTTTATTTAAGTTAAAAGAGAAACCTTTTAACGTGGTGGCATTGGCACTCAGATTTATATCATTCATGGCTTCTTGTAATTTATTCTGGTCTATTTTCCTATGCTGCCATTTTTTATAAATGTCATTACGATTTTTTATGGTTTGAGTGCTCTCAATTTCAAACAATACGTAGTTATGATCGCTGAGAGTTTCCCTTTCACTGACTTCCCAGTTTATAATATTGACGTTTTCTGTAGAAATTGTCAGATCCAAGATTGAGTGATATGACTGCCGCTGAAAAGTAGGTTTTTCGCCTTTGTTTGCGATAATCAGGCCGTTAGCTGCTATCCATTCACTTATACATGACCTCTCTTGTCTGTAAAGGACATACCCCGCTGGGGCAACTTTGCATTGAAGTCACCTCCAATTATACAGGCTGGGTGCTTGCCCGAAAGACATTCTCGATTTCAAATAGCGATTGCTCTAGGTTAGCTATACTTGTGTTTCCCGTCAGATAACAGCTAATTACTACCATCATGTTGGTAACAATGTATGAGAATCCGTTGCCTTGCCCTGTCTTTTTTATTGTTAACTTTTTATCGAGTACTTTTATTGCTGTGTCTAACTTATTATCAAAAATCCAATCTTTACGTTGTTTGATGGCGTTTAAATTAGGTTCGCTAACGAGTAGGATACTGATGTTCATTTCTCTTGCTGTGGCAAGAGCCAAGTCATGTGCTGGTCTACTTCTATTCAAATTGATTTGAGGGGCCCGGATCATGGTTTTGTATTACCTCTGGCGTCTTTTCAGCTTTCCCGCATTTGGTTCTGCCGGTTTGGTGTCCTTTTTCGTTACAATTAAGGCAGAATGGTTTATTTTTGCACGCAATTGCTTTATGTCCACCTTTTCCACACTTCATACACAGGTTCTCTCTATCCGGCCCGGAACAATGTACTTTAGTATGGCCCAATTCCCAACATTTATGGCACTTGCTCTCGCTTTTCCTTTCCACAATCTTACAAGTAGACCAACCAACGTTGACTTTACCTATTTCGACTAGTTTGTACCTATCTTGTTGTTGACGTTACTCTTAGGATCATAAAAGTGCGTAAGTCCCCCCACCGCGGC